GGCGTTGCTGCGAAGGATTCGTGTCTTGGCGCCCAGCTTGCACATCGGAGGCGCAGGAACCTACCCTTTGGGGTCCGCGCGCGGGCATCTTTCAGCTGCTTTGATTATGATGATACGGCTGGCACGCTGGTAAAGAACAGCCCTAGTTTTGGAAGGGTGTCCTTCTGCTCTTCGTTTCTCGGCACTGCACCTTGCAATGTTGTTCGTCTTGACCCCCTCCTCCTCCTCCTCCTCCTCTTCCTCCTCCTCCTCCTCCTCCTCCTCCTCCTCTGCCTTCTCGTCCTTCTCGTCCTCCTCCTCCTCCTAGTACTTCACTCTTGCTCCTCGAATTCTTGTCCCCCAGAACAGTCAAGACGCTGAAGTCAGGACCACTTGGCTTCGATCTGAGTCAGGAAAACGATTTCGTGGCCGCGGCGCGCCGTGGCCAGAAAAGCCCTCTCGCTCCTCGTGTTGCGCTCCCCGCGGCGGCGCGAAGGATGGCCCAAGCAAGCATTCATTGAGGCGTGTCGCGTGCATCAGCCCTGGGCTGGTTCTCTCAAGAATTGAAGGTTGTCGCTTTCTGTGTTGCTTGGACAGGCGCGCGCGCGCGCGCTCCTGCAATCATCGAGCCAACGCATTTGTCCGCGGCGGGGTTGCGCCATGGACACGGCGGTGCCCAGCGCCGCCTGGGTAATGGCGACGGCGACTTGCGACAGGTGGGTGGCGGAGCAGGGAGCGACAGAGCAGTGTAGAGAGCGTAAGCCGACGGACTGCAGAAGTCAAGAATTTCGATCTGCAAGGCCAGTTTTCTCGGCGGAGAGCACGGGGGGAAGTGAGAAGGAGCGGTCCTTCTCCGAAGGCTCGGGAGTCCCCCGGCCTGAGAAGTGGTCTAAGCCGTCCCCGAAGAGGCAGAAAACTTCTCACAAGGCGCGACGGCTTTTAAGAAGGCCTCCTCGTTCTCCTCCTCCTCCGGAGCCTCCTCCTCCTCCCTCCTCCTCCTCCCTCCTCCTCCTCCTCCTCCTCCTCCTCCTCCTCCTCCTCCTCCTCCTCCTCCTCCTCCTCCTCCTCCTCCTCCTCCTCCTCCTCCTCCTCCTCCTCCTCCTCCTCCTCCTCCTCCTCCTCCTCCTCCTCCCCCTCCTCGCTCGCCGCCGCAGATTTTGCATGTTGTGATTCGTTGGCCTGCGCCGCGCCGCCGACCCCTCGGAGGCTTGGACACGGTGGAGCCCTCCTGGGTCACGGGAGCGCCCTGGGAGGCGTTGGGAGGGCCTCCTTTTTACGGGGCCCTCGGAGCCACGCGCGTGTCTCTTTCCACATTGTTCTGGATGCCCTGTGTCCAGGAGGGAGCGGGCGCGCGTGGAGCATGAGAATCTGGGGGGCCCTGTCAGGCCTCTGGAGGAGGTCTTTGCTCCTGAGGTCCCCTTTTGGAGAGCTCTGGGAGCGCACTGGGTGTGTAGGCTGCCTTCTGGCCATCGTGGGTCATTGTTGGGCCCTTTGGGGCCAACTTAAGGCCATGTCGAGGCCGCCCGGGGACACCTCTGAAGCACATGATTCCCACGAGGGGATCTAGCCGGCCTCCCCCTGCCCAAAACTTGTTGGACTACCCCCGTCCAGATTGGCCTGGCCAGGCTCCTGGGGAAGGGCTCTGGAATGGGGCAAGCTTCTCCCCTCTCCTGTCCCTTGCTCGTTCGTCCGCCTTCCCTTCCCTCCCCCTCCTCCCTCCTCTCCCGCTCCTGGCCCCGCGGGGCCAGACGCGGCGGGTGACCATCGACCCCTACCAAAGGATGACCGGCACCGCATACTCAAACAGTGGCGAAGCGTCACAGCTCCTCTATATATATATATATATATATATATATATATATATATATATACACATATATATAGGACTACCAAACCCTTTGTGGTCTGCACGAGATGTTCTTGGAACATGTTTGGTTGAGACCGCATTGTTTTAACACCTCGGGTCCACGTTTTGAGAACAGCGTTACTGTCTTCAGCACAGTTTCACCACACACCAAACCACCCCAACCCAACCCGAAGGCTCCAAATTGCCCTCCATTTCCAGGGGGGGGTCGGGGAATGTTGAGAAAACACATGTGAAACCCGTACCCCCCCCCCCCCAACCCGAAATTCGGGTTTTCGGGTTGGGTTGGGGTGATCTGGTAGGTAGTCACATTCCTGGGCCCTGAGAAAATACTTCGCGGTAGGCCTATCGGAATCCCGGGGCGGTCGGTCCTTGCTCCATTTCAGCGCCGGCCGCGCACGGGCGAGGCGCACAGCGCGAGGGTCTGGAGCGCTCGTCCTTTTCTTGGGCAAGTTGCCTAGCTCGTCGGAGCTCGCAGCCTTATTTCGAGCGAAGAAATCAACATTTTGCTTCAGTGATCTGGGCTCCCCTGGGCTTGTCCCCAGGGCCTCCAAGACAGCCGACGACCACGAGGATGCCAGCACGGACCTCTGGGGCCATCTCGCGGCGCGTTGGAGGCCTTGGGCGCGCCCAGGAGCCCCCGAACAAGTTCTCCGTAAGCTGGGACGCCTCATGGGCCAACGCGGGCGGGCCCGAGAGGGCGGGCCCGAGCAGGAAGAGCACGAGGACGCACGCTCCTGCTCCTGCCCCACTGGACTAGGAGCGGTCGTCCTCGTGCTCTTCCTGCCCGGGCCCGCCCTCTCGGGGCGGGCCTCGCTCGGGGTGTCTCCGCTGCGCCTGGCCCGCGCTCTTGCGGCCACGTCCCGGCGACGCCGCCGCCCTGCGCTGGCAGGGACCACGGCCGCCCCCAGCGTGCCCTCCGCCAGCACGCCAGGGTGAAGTCGGGCGTGTCCCTCTGGGGGGACTGTCCAAAAATAGCCCAACAAACATAGTCTGGGGACGATTTCTTTAATAGTTCTGCACATGTTGTCGTGATGTTGTTTTGCTATTTTGACATTGTTATCCAGAATCCGTGTGTGGGAGGACACGCCCGACCTAACGCCAGGGAGCCCGCGTGAAGGCTCGCAGTGGGCCCGCGCAGCGATGCTGGCGCAGCGCGCCGCGGGCGTGGCCACTGTGCCGTGGGGCCCCCCCGACGAAACCGAATGCGAGTGCTGCGCCCCGTCTCTTGTGTTCTTCTGCGGCACACGGCAGAGCTTGAGCCCCAGGTCCTCGTGGCGCGGGCTTCGCGCCGCGACAGCGGCTGCAGCAACGCGCGCGTCGCCCCATGGTGAACCAGCGTGTTCAGTTTTTTTGTTCAGGCGCTCTGTGTCCCACGTGGCGGCACAAGCGCCCGGGCTCGTGACCACCAGCCCGGCGACTTCGATGGCGGCCGCGGCGGCCAAATCGGGCCAGGCGGACGCGAAAAGGAGGACAGGGTCGGCAGACCCTTCCGTGTCCGATCCTGCTATCACTGGTAATGCGATGACGACCACGACCACGACCACGACGACGACGACGACGACCGTGCAGAAGGCACACCACGGCCCGCAAGTCCGAGAAGATCCGTGCGGCAGGCCACGAAAGCGCTCGTGGGCGGGCGACCAGTTTAAGTTGCCCGCGCATTCTCCATGTCGTGCGCAGCGACAGCGCTGGGGCGGCCACGCGCTAGGCTGCAGTCGGGCACGTCCCTCTACAGGAGAAATATACAGAAATTGCTAGAAAATGGTACGGGGACGATTTTTTGATTAATTTTTGACAATTTGGGCGCATTGTTGGGGCATTGCTATCGTCCAAAATTCCCCTGTAGGAGGACAGGCCCCACTTAACGCTAGGCGCGCGCCTGGGCCCTCAGCCCCCGCAGCGCAATCGCCCTTCGTTTCCGCGGGGGGGGGGAGCGCGCCCGCGCGGGCCCGTCCTCGTCGAGGAGAGCTCTGGCGCTCCCCTCGGTCGTCGTGCCGTGGCAGGCAGAGTCTCGGTCGTCGCGGCAGGTCGTGGCGATTCGCAGGTTTCTGCCCCCTCGGCGCTGCAGCGGAGAGTGCTGGGCCGATGTGCCATGAGATGCAACTTGGCTATGGACGGTCGCCCCAAGCCTGTCGCCATCGGCCGTGCTCGGAGCTCTCCCGCCGCCCTCGCAGTGGGTCTTCTCGGCTGCAGCCGTCGCTTTTCCCGGGCCCCTGGCGCTGCCAGTGTGTCCTCCGTGGAGCCATAGCTTCTTGCCGCGACGACGAGATCCTTGAAGTCGACGCTCGAGCCGCGCAGCGCGACCGCTTTTTCGCCCACGCGTTCGGGGCCTGATCCTCGGCGCCCGCGCCTGGCACCCCCGCCCAGTCCCGCCGCATCCCGGGGCCAGCTCCTACTGCGCAGAGGGGGCTTGCCAAGCCTCACCCTCCTTCGTCTGTCGCGCCGCCGCGCCGTGACAGGCTCTGACGACACCCGCGCCCCTGCCCTACGAAATGGACGCCGCGCGGTGGAGACCGGCCTCATCGGCCACTCAGTTTCTCTGTGTTGTCTTACTTCATCGCTTCGCTCATTCCGCCGGCCCTCGAGCGCTCTATGGGGCCTCTTTGAAGCCTCTTGAGGGCCTCTTTGGGGCCTCCTAGGGGCCTCTTGGGGGCCTCTTGGGGGTCTCTTGGGGCTCCTTGGCGGCGTCTTGGGGCCCCTTGGGCCTCTTGGGGGTGCTCTTGGGGGCCTCTTGGGGCGGGGTAGGCGAGTGCACCCCCCTCGGAGGCCACAATCCTCGTGAGGGGTGTCGAAAAAAGGCCCTCAAAACCATCTCTGAGTAGACCTTCCCGGGCTGCGGTCGGGGTACTTGTCGCCAGGGGACCCCCAGGGGCCGCTCCGCGCGCGCGAACTGGAAGAATTGTTCACCAGTTACCGGAGATCTTAGCACGCCTCTGGCCCGTTGGGCCGGCGAATTTTGTTCTTGCGGCGCCTCTGGACACTGGGCACTGGACTCTCCGGACACCAGGCACCGGACATAACTAGGACACCGCACACCGGACGCCCGACACCCGACGCCTGCGCCAGACATCGGACAGCAGATGCCGGACACCACACCGGACATTGGTCGCCGGACACCAGTTTGGGAGGAATTTGTTTCTAGGGGGAATGTTGTTTTCTCCCTCCCTCTATCCTCTTCCCCCCCCCCCCGCTCCCCCTCCCCATCGTGCGTTGTAGCAGAATTCGGTTCCCGAGGGAGAATGTTGTTGCGCAAGTGCTGGCTAATTGTCGCAACGCTCCGGTTGCCCTGACACGGCGCGCGATGTGCCTGTTATGTGATATCTCGGGTTGTCTCGTTCTCGATGGAGTGTGGGGTACCCGCTCGCGCGAATCCTGTCGGGACCACAGCTGCCCTTCACTCACTCCTATCCGCATTTGCGGGGGTCATGGTCCTGCGCCCAGGCCGCGCCGCTGCAGATTTTTCCGTACCAATTTGGGCTCTAGTCCATATTTGCGCCAGGTTTGAACCCCGAGTTTGCAATCCAGCGGGCGCTCAATGATGTCTCTCGGGCCCGTGGCGCAGTGAAAATCAGTCTGATCCCATCGGCCTGGTCGACACACTTTCCATATAGTCCGGTCTTGTTCCTGATCATCTGCAGCATCAGCATCAGGTGAGAGTGCAAGTTTCCAGTGAGTCTCAGATTCGAGTGGTTGCCGGCTTTCGCAACGGACCGCTCGCATGCCGCCGTCGCAGGCGCGCCATTCCTTTACATATCAGAGTCGTGACCGTAGTTGTCAAAGAAAATGGATATTCCAGCTGGCTTTCCCAGCATGACTGGAACCGAGGCTGCCAAGTGCATCATCATGTCGTCTTACGCTTTATGTTTGCAGTGTGGCCTCAGTGGTCGGAGGTACAACGGACTTCTAGATCGAGGTTGTACCCTCGCGTGTCAGGCGCTCCTGACGGCGACCGCTGAACAGCTTCGCCGCCGCCGGGCAGAGACACGATTTACATCCACGCTGAACGTCATGTACAGCTCAGTTCTAGGGTGGCTTTTTCCAGACAGCGTCAAATGGCGGCGGTTCAATCGGGAGCTGGAACAGTTATTTGCGGCGCTGTCTGTTTGCCGATCTTTGCTGTGGACTCGCACGCATTCCCGATGTTCTTCCGCTCGCCTCACTTTGTCAGTTCTCCCGCGGCCATGTGGTGAGGTACTGCACTCATACAGGGACATGGTCAAACACAAGGGCGTGGCTGCGGCTGAGACGGCCTTGTCCCGCCTGATCGCCCTCCAGCGACAGGCCGTGTTCCATGACGTGGCTGCTGTTGGTCAGGAGGCTTGCGTATACCATTGGGCATCTGCGGGCTTTCGCTATATCGGCGTGGCTCGCCAGGTCCGCGTGAGCCAGCCGTCCAGGTGCGGTGTGACTCTGCGGTGGCTCGAGCACCTCACGTTCACCCGCCGGAAGCGCATCGCCGAGTCGCGCAGGCTCAGGTACAAGTTGGCCCGCAGGGAGCCTTTCGAAAGGTCGTTCTTCATGGTGGTGCAATCGTGCGACGTGCCCAGCGCTTTCAACCGGGAGCGCGAAGCCATTCGGCAGTGCCGCCCAAATGGGAACGGAGGTCACGGCAACGGGCGACGGCGTCTCCCGGCGCAGGAGCACGGGGCCAGACGGCGGCCTCCGAGGAGCAAGCGGTCGAAGGCATTTCCGCCACGCACGCGTCTCTTGGAGGGAGCGTTTGCCATCCTTTCGCAGTGCTCGGATGACATCCGCGACACAGCCTGCGAGGGCGACGTGTCCAACGAGGCGCTGGGCGAATGGAGGCTCATTGCCGGGTCGCCCGCCGCATCGCCGACGGTTCGGGCATGCATGGCCCGATTGATATATTTCAGCTTTGCTTCAGCATGCTGGTGGTCTTGTGGTTTGGAACTCGCCGCGCCGTCCCACAGTGGCGTCTGTTGGAGAAGCGCTGGCAAGATGCCGATGTAGCCCTGCGCCTCTTCGCCCTGACGGAGTCCATCAAAAGACCCCTGCTGCGCGCCAAGGCTCGCAAGTGCATCGGGGCCCGGCTTCGCGCACTTGGGCTTCCCGGGCTGACCCCATATCGTATGCGCGTGCCTGCCCAACTTGTCTGCCAGGTGCGCCGAACAATCAAGGCTATCATCCAATCCACGCGGTCTCTATCCACGACCCGCCGCTGGTGGTGGCTCCGGCAGACAGCGATAGTCAAGGAACCAGTCCGGAAGTGGAGTTCGCTGATCAACGCCCCGGCAGCCAGCCGGGAGGCGGACGTTGAGGGCGCCCTGTCGTGGAGCGATGAGACGTGGTCCCGGCGGATGCAAGCCAGGAGGTGCAAGCTAGTGGCAGTGAATTGGGAAGTGACCTTCTGGGAGGAACCCGAGTCTTACGGTGGCCGGACTGCGAACATCGTCAGCCAGTGGGTGCGCCAGAACCATTTCTCTGTGCCGCGGCTCCTAGCAACGCAGGGCCGCTGGTTCTTGGATTTCTTCCACTGCCGTGGCACAGCTTCGCTGGAGCAGAAGCGGGACAGCGATCGACGTGCTTATCGTAAGTACACCCAGCCCATGCGTTCTATTCCAGATGGCCATGTCGTCACGAGGGATGACAAGCAGAAGCGCTGGTGTTGGCATATGCCAGAGCCGCACTACATTGCCACGCTCATAGTCTACATCGTCACCTCGCCGCACTGGCACTTGACGAGCCGCCAGCCCGCGGAGGTGTCCCTGCTGATCGCCGGCATCCTGAAGGCCTTCGTCCCTGCCCGGCTGCATGCGCGGTTTCGTCTACACGACGAAGTGCAGTGGTTGCCTTACCTGTACACAACACTGAAGTCAAAATGCTACGGGAGCGTAGGTGAAGGCAGATTCTGCGAGAAAGAGGGGCATTCGTGCGCGCGGAAGATAGTGAGCTATGTGAAATGGCCTGCCCGGCAGTCGTGGCGAGGGGTGTCCAGGGCGCTGTCTCACATTCTCAAGCGCCACGGTGGTTCTTGGGAGTCATGGTCCCTCACGGCGTCTGCGGCCGAGGTGCGCGCTGCTCGCGCGGGCTTGGCAGCGCGGCCACGCGGGGAGGCTTGCAGATGCCAGCGGTGCCGGGCTAGCAAACCCGAGTTCGTCGGCGTCGTCGCCGATGCAGGCCAATTCTTCGAAGTCGTCCAGGCCCGCGAGGCAGTGCGCTGCGTCGCTCGACTGCTCCGGCGGGTGGAGGCGCAGACGGGGCTTACTTCCGTAACGATTGGCCAGCACAAAGGTGAGAGCACTTACCTCGGGGGCTCTCCGTACTCATGCACGGGAAAGCAATGGTGGCTGACTTTCGAGGAGCTGATCTTGATCTTTTCCGCCGCCATGGAGATGAAATGGTGCAGTGTTGGCGCCCGCGTGGCGGAGATGACCGGCACGCCAATCGGAGGCCTCTGTTCCAAAATTGCGGCTTCGGCTGTGCTGGGCGAGGCCGAGCGGGCGTGGCAGGAGGACCCTGCCCGCCGACAGCGTGCACATTTCCACGTTCCCGGCCTTGCATGGGAGCAGGCGGCCGCGCGCAGGAGGTACGTCGACGACCTCCTGACTGTGTCGAACCACTACTGCGAGATGTGTTTGCGAGAAGCCATCGCTAGCATATACCCTATCGAATTCGACGTTGCTGAATCGGGGCCCACTGTCACATGGCTTGACATGAGGCTGGACGTGGCTAGCGGCGAGTTGACTTGGAACTACCGCCGGCCAATTCTTCCGCCGCCTTTCGCCGCGTCGGGAGACTGGTTCCGAGGGTGCGTGCTTGGCCGGACTAAGCGATGTCAAGAGATCGGCCTCTCCATGGAGGCGACCTGCAGCGCCATCGCGTTGCTCCTGAGTGACCTCCGGTGCTGCGGGCTGAAACATCGAGAGTTTCGCCACCTGTACTACAGCACAGCAGGCTGCTTCCAGCACTTCCACTTGCGAGCCTTCCGAGCGGGGCTGCGGGCATGCGGATTCTGAGGTCGAAGGGCGGGTTCTGAGGTGTTCTTTTCTCCCTCCCTCTATCCTTTTCCCCCCCTCCCCCCCGCTCCCCCTCCCCATCGTGCGTTGTGGCAGAATTCGGTTCCCGAGGCAGAATGTTGTTGCGCAAGTGCTGGCTAATTGTCGCAACGCTCCGGTTGCCCTGACACGGCGCGCGATGTGCCTGTTATGTGATATCTCGGGTTGTCTCGTTCTCGATGGAGTGTGGGGTACCCGCTCGCGCGAATCCTGTCGGGACCACAGCTGCCCTTCACTCACTCCTATCCGCATTTGCGGGGGTCATGGTCCTGCGCCCAGGCCGCGCCGCTGCAGATTTTTCCGTACCAATTTGGGCTCTAGTCCATATTTGCGCCAGGTTTGAACCCCGAGTTTGCAATCCAGCGGGCGCTCAATGATGTCTCTCGGGCCCGTGGCGCAGTGAAAACCAGTCTGATCCCATCGGCCTGGTCGACACACTTTCCGTATAGTCCGGTCTTGTTCCTGATCATCTGCAGCATCAGCATCAGGTGAGAGTGCAAGTTTCCAGTGAGTTTTGCCCCCCCTCCTGGCTGACCGACGTTGTCCCGTTTGCGTTGTCCTTGGTTTCTGCGTGCCGTTTCGCGCAGGGCCAGTTCATTTCTAAGAAGAGTGTCGGTTTTCTCATGATGTTCTGCTTCTCGCATCGTTCTTGGCAATGGGCCTTCTCTCACAGGATTTTGTTTCCTCCCGCATGGGATGGGCTCCGTTTATGCTCGCCCTCAGTACGCATTTGTTGCCAAGCGCTGGTTTGTTTCTATGCTTGCCCCTCGTTCCCCTCCTCTCCTATTTCCTCGTTCGCCCATTCCGCCTAACCTTCTTCCTTTATGGGCTGTTTTTCTGGAGCGTCCGTGGTCTTTCGCATACGGCTGGTTTTGTTTCTGGGAGGAACCTTGCGTCTCTACTGAATTGTTCTTCCTCGCTCGTTCCTCGCATTGGGTCTTCCCCCAAGGGCTTTGACTTTCTCCCACATGGGCGGCTCCTGGATTTGGTCGCTCCTGTGTGCAATATGCCAAGGGGTGGATTGTTCTTGGCATGCAGGTTTTGCAAAAGTGCGGAACCTTCGGTTTCCTTTCCTTATCCCTCTTCTCCTCCTTCCTCTTTCGTCCCTCCCGGCGAACGGAATATTTTTCTCTGTTTGCGTTTTTTGTTGTATCCGTTGGTCCATTGTATTGCGAGAGGCCGGTTTGTGTCCACAGAGAGCAACGTTTCTGATTTGATTTCTGTGTGTTCCAGCGCTTCTGAAATTTATAGGCTTCTCTCAAAGACATGCGCTTTTTCCCAAATTGAGCGGTCCCTGGGTATGCTCGCCGCCTGCGCGATTTTTCGCCGATGGCTGGCGGACTCAGGAGGCATCTGGGTTCGCCCACGTTCCTGGCACTGGGACTTCCCAAATTTCGGTTTTGTCTTTCTCTGACATGCTCGTTCCGGCACGCAAATCTGCAAAAGGTTCGCTTGTTTCTAGGGGGGACCCGGGCTTGTCAGTCCCTTCTCCGTTTCTCTTCTTTTACCACTCGCGCATCCCAGCTAACTTACTTTTTTTCCGTTGGCGTGTTACCCTGGTTTGTTTTTGCAGTTTTGCGCAGGGTTGGTTTGTTCGTAAGAGAAGCCTTGGTTGTAGGATGCATTTCCTTTTTGTCCCCTCGCTCTTGACATTAGGGCCCCTCCCAAAGGGACGGGTCCTGGGTATGCTCGCCCCCTGCATGCCACATTTTGGCTGTTTCTTGGAGTGACTTTGCGTTTCCTCCCCCTTCCCCTCTTCAGCCCTTTCCTCGTTCGACCATCCCGGCTGACTAACATTTTTCTGCTTGCGTGTTGGGCGTTTGTTTGTTTATATTGTTTCGCAAAAGGCCGGCTTGTTTCTAGGAGGAACCCTGGTTCTTTCATGATTTGCCGTATGTTCCTCCCTTCTTGGCTTTGGGGCTTCTCCCAAAGGCTTGCGATTTGTCCCACATGAGGCGGGTCGTGAGTACGCTCGCCCCCCTGCGTGATGATGCTAGTGGTGGTGGTGGTGATAATGACGAAGGGCGTGGTGGAGTGGATTGCGACGGTAATGGTGATGATGACGTTGAGGATGATGGTGGTGATGAGGATACAGACAGATAATGCTGGTGATGGTGGTGACGACGAGGACGATGGCGATGACGACGCCGATGGTAATGAGATTGCTGGTGCTAGTGCCTACATATGGCGGTTGTGATGGCAATGCTGTTCACGATGATGGTGTCTTCTAGTTCCTTGACCTCTCGGCCGTCTCTTGCGCCCGCCACCAACAGAATCCCATTGTGGGGGAGGAACGCTGTGAGGCCCTTCTGTCTCGCAGCGTGCGCATCCGCAACGCCTTCATTTTCATCTTAAGCAGCCTCACCATCATCACCATTATCATCGTCATGGCCATCAGCATTGTCCTCATCATTCGCATCCTCGTCGGCTGCATCATCATCCGCATTCGCAGCATCATCATCACTGTCTGCATGATATGCTTTCCGCTGTTCGTCCGCATCACCCTCCTACCACCTACTGTCCTATGACTTCCCCGCTCCTATCTCATCGTCTTCTTGTTCTTGCTCTCAGAGTTCGCTCTCACCCCCTGCTACTTCCGAACCGCTTCCCCCCATTCTTGTTTGAAAAAGAGGGGGCGGAGGTGCGGACGCCATTGATTTTTATTGCAATTCAATTGTAAACTTCATCATCATAATCATTGTTATTGTGCCTGTTCTACGCATCTATGTTCAAGTTCTCTTCAGCGGCCACACTTCACACCTGTCTTCGGCCACAGGCGCGCCCGCGCTGGACACCGGGCGCCAGACACAAGACACCGGACGGCCTCCGGACACCAGCCACCAGACATTGGACACCGGACTGGACACCAGACACCGAACACTGGACACCGGACACCGGACACCGGACACCGGCGCACCGGCCACAGGACACCGGACACCAGACACCGGACACCGGACACCGGCCACCGGACACCAGACACGGGACACCGGACACCAGACACCGGACACCGGACACCGGAAGCAAGAGTCGCCCGTGTTTTCGACGGCGACGACGGCAACGACGACGACGACGAAGATGACGACGATTGCAAGTACAACGCCCACGATGGCAACACGGCAACGCCGATGACGACGACGACAACGACGACGACGACGACGACGACGACGACGACGACGACGACGACGGACGACGACGTTGACGACGCCGACGACGACAAGGACAACGACCACGACAGCGACGACGACGCCGACGTCGGCGATGGGGACGCCGGCAACGACGAGGACGACGGCGACGACGAGCACGACGAGCACGACGAGCACGACGACGACGACGAAAACGGGGAAGACGACGGCGGCGACGACGACGACGACGACGACGAAAGCGGCGGCGACGACGACGACGACGACGACGGCGACGTCGACGACGGCGGCGACGACGACGGCGGCGACGACGATGGCGAGGACGACGACGACGACGACGACGACGACGACGACGACGACGACGACGACGACGACGACGACGACGACGACGACGACGACGACGACGACGACGACGACGACGACGGCGACGACGACGACGACGGCGGCGACGGCGACGGCGGCGACGACGACGACGGCGACAGCAACGACGACGACGACGGTGACGGCAACAACGGCGACGACGACGGTGACAACGAGGACGACGACGACGACGACGACGACGACGACGACGACGACGACGACGACGACGACGGCTCTGACGACGACGATGACAGCGACGGCGACGACGGCGACGACGGTCACGACGACGACGACGACGACGACGACGACGACGACGACGACGACGACTGCGACGACGGGTAAATACGACGACGACGACGACGACGGCGATGACAGTGAAGACGTCGACAACGGCGACGTCGACGACGACGACGATGACGGCGGCGACGACGACGACGACAACGACGACGGTGACGACGATGACGACGACGGCGACGACGACGATGACGACGACCACAAGACGACGACGACGACCACCACAACGACGACGATGATGGCGGCGGCGGTTGCGACGACGACGACGACGACAACGGCGACGACGGCGACGACGACGACGACGAGACGGCGGCCACGACGACGACGACGGCGACGACGACGACGTGGACGGCGACGACGACGACGACCATGACGACGCAACGACGGCGACGACAGTGACGAGGATGAGGACGGCGACGGCGACGACGACGACGACGACGACGGCGACGACAACGCAACGGCAACGACGACGACGACGACACCGGCGACGTCGACGGCGACGGCGACGACGACGGTGACGATGACGACGACGGCGACGGCGACGACGACGACGACGTCGACGACGACGTCGACGAGACCGGCGACGACGACGACGACAACGGCGACGAGGCCGGCGACGACGGCGACGACGACGATCGACGACGACGACGGCGACGGCGACTTCGACGGCGACGACGACCACGACGCCTTCGAGCATGACGAGGACGACGATGTCGACGACGACAACGAAGGCGACGATGATAGCGACGACCACGACGACGGCAACCACGACGGCGACGGCGACGACGGCAACGACGACGACAGCGCCAGCGAAGACAACGTCGACGACGACGACTGAAAGCGCGGCAGGCACGCGACGCAGCGCGCCAAGTCCGGGCCCGTCAATTGATAGACCCGTTCATATTCCAACGGCCAGGGCGTAGCAGCGGAGCGGGGCGCAGCGGGCTGCGCCGCGAGCAGCTCGAGCGGCGGCTGGCGAGGCTCGCCCAGGCGCGCCGTGGGCGGCCGGGCAGCGAGCACCGGCGGGCCGACCTTGAGGCGGCGCGGCGGGGAGCGCACCGCGGCACTGGCGATTGGGAGGAGGGGAGGGGGCGAAGAAAGACATCAACAACAAAAAAACGCCCTCATCCTTGTCGTTGGCCGTAGCCTTGCAAGCCCAGCCGCGCCACGTGCAGCGCCTGTGCACAGCGCCGCCGCAGGGGAAGCTGTTGCTCAACGGCGTCGTGAAGGAGGCGTCGCGCCTGGCAGCCGCCGAGTTGACGCCGTTGCCGCAGGCGAGACACTTCCTGCGCGGGGCCCTGAGTGAGCTGCCGCTGCGCAGGACCCCTCGCGCCTGGAGTCGGTTATCCTATGCGCTCCCCCACTGCTGGCCCTAGCTGCAGGGACGGGCAGCGCTGCGCCCGCTCTAGGTTG